ATCTTAGAATTCTCCATTAGCCTCCGGTCATTGAAGAGAGACAGACCTGTCTGTATTAGGGACAGAGTTAGGGCCACAGAGACTTTAGGGCCACAGAATCGTTACTCAGGGCCACAGAATCGTTACTCAGGGACACAGAATCGTTACTCAGGGACACAGAATTGTTACTCAGGGACACAGAATCGTTACTCAGGGACAGACACAGAATTGTTACTCAGGGACACAGAATTGTTACTCAGGGACACAGAAATGTTACTCAGGACACAGAATTGTTACTCAGGGACACAGAATCGTTACTCAGGGACACAGAATTGTTACTCAGGGACACAGAATCGTTACTCAGGGACACAGAATTGTTACTCAGGGACACAGAATCGTTACTCAGGGACAACAGAATCTGTTACTCAGGACACAGAATCGTTACTCATGGGACACAGAATCGTTATTCAGGGACAGAATCGTTACTCAGGACACAGAATCGTTACTCAGGGACACAGAATCGTTACTCAGGGACACAGAATCGTTTATTCAGGGACACAGAATCGTTACTCAGGGAACACAGAATCATTACTCAGGGACACAGAATCGTTACTCAGGGACACAGAAATCGTTACTCAGGGACACAGAATCGAATCGTTACTCTGAGGGACACAGACACAGAATCGTTACTGAGGGACACAGAATCATTACTCAGGGACACAGAATCGTTACTCAGGGACACAGAATTCGTTACTCAGGGACAGAACAGAATCGTTACTCAGGGACACAGAATCGTTACTCAGGACACAGAATCGTTACTCAGGGACACAGAATCGTTACTCAGGGACACAGAATCGTTACTCAGGGACACAGAATCGTTACTCAGGGACACAGGGACACAGAATCGTTACTCAGGGACACAGAATCGTTACTCAGGGACACAGAATCGTTACTCAGGGACACAGAATCGTTACTCAGGGACACAGAATCGTTACTCAGGGACACAGAATCGTTACTCAGGGACACAGAATTGTTACTCAGGGGAATTGTTTACACAGAATTGTTACTCAGGGACACAGAATCGTTACTCAGGGACACAGAATCGACTGAGGGGACACAGAATCGTTACTCAGGGACACAGAATACTGAGGGACACAGAATCGTTACTCAGAATCCTTACTCAGGGACACAGAATTGTTACTCGGGGACACAGAATTGTCACTCGGGGACACAGAATCGTTACTCAGGGACACAGAATTGTTACTCGGGACACAGAATCGTTACTCAGGGACACAGAATCGTTACTCGGGGACACAGAATTGTTACTCAGGGACACAGAATTGTTACTCGGGGACACAGAATTGTTACTCAGGGACACAGAATTCCGTTACTTTCTGCTTCACAACCACTATTGAATTAAAGAGTATGTCAGACAACACGCAGAGGAGTGGCAGAGGAGGCAATGTTTCAGGAGCGAGCAGACGTGGCAGCAGAGGAAGGGGTCGAGGCAGCACTAGTCGCAGCCAGAGGCCAGTGCTCCCGGTGTCATCCAGCGGTCGTGTCTCCACCGACAACCCTGCCGTCATCGATTGGTTGACTCGGTCGTCTTCCTCTTCCCAGGTCACCTCTGACACCTACAGCCAACAGTCGGTGGGTACGTCAGACACAACCGTTAGTTGGCATGGCCCGGGAGCAAGCCCACTGAAATCACGTGTCCTCTACCTGCCCCTGTCCTTTGGTGTTCCCTCACCAAGCGAAGTATCGCATGCTGTGGGCTCAGCCCCACTGTACAGTGAGGAAGAGCTAACAGGGCGGTCAGGAACGGGGGGAGACATCCGCCTCTTCAGCAGCCAGGCGAAGAAGTACTGGCGAGGAGAGTGGCTCGGTAGCCGGTCTAGAGACAGGTCTGTCTCCTGACCCACATGCAGCCGAGGGGGCTAGTAGTGACGCGGAGACCCTAATTGATGATGATGAGGCTGATCGCACTTGGCAGCCTCCTCGTCATCAGGCTATTGCTTTTGCATCATCAGGAGAAGAGCGTGCCAGCTTGCCAGCGAGCAAAACAGTCGGTGGGTTCCCAGGAGGCAGCAGGGTCGCAGCAGTGTCAGTGGAGGCAAACGGCCACGGAGTAGAGCACCAGCTCCACTGCAGCCTACCACCACGGCCAGTAGTGGTGCCGGTGTGCACGGAGGAAGTAGCAGTCAGCCAGTGAGGAGTACCGGGGGCAAAGTTTCCTACTCGGCGGTGTGGCAATTTTTCGTCAAGCCGCCCGAGGAAGTAAACGTAGCCGTATGTCGACTATGTGGCCAGAAAGTCAAGCGTGGCCAGGGGGCCCATGTTTGGACTACAGCGTTGCGTCAGCATATGCAGCGTAGCCATTTGGTGGCCTGGGAAAACCGTGAGAAAGATACGGAGGTTCTGCCTGCCCCAGCCCCCGCTCCATCACCCGCTCCGTTACTTGCTCCGTCACCCGACGTCAATCGCCCTCTATCAGCCAGTCAAGGCTCCAACACCCTCTGCTGAGGGGAGTTGTCGCTCGTTGGCATCTTCCGCTCGTTCAGATGCTCCTTCTCCTGCTACTCCTCTTCACGGATTCCGTCAGCAGTCTTTCTTGGAATCCGTTTCCAAGAGACAACAGTTTGCGAGCACGCACCCGACGGTGCAGAAGCTGAACGTCCTCCTGTCCAACTTGCTGGTGCTGCAGTCCCTCCCTTTCCAAGTGGTGGACTCAGCACCTTTCTGAGAAATGATGGCTTGTGCCGAGCCGCGGTGGAGAGTGCCAAGCCGGCATTTCTTCGCCAAAAAGGCAGTGCCAGCCCTGCATTCACATGTAGAAGAGATGGTGGGCCAGTCTTTGAGCATGTCGGTCTCTGCCAAAGTGCACGGCAGCGCCGACGTGTGGAGCTGTAACTACGGTCAGGGACAGTACATGTCATTTACGGCCCACTGGGTGAACGTGGTGCCGGCACAGCCGCACCAGCAACTTGGACAGGTCACGCCGCTTTTGCCTCCACGTTTGCACGTCCTTGGTCCAGCAAAGATGTCTGCCTCTACCACCTCTTCTTCCGCTGTGTCCTCAGCCGCCACCCCCGTGCCAAGTCCCATTACCCGACCGGCATATCACATGTGCAGGGCGCAACGGTGTCACGCTGTGCTGCACCTGGTATGCCTTGGCGAACGTAGTCACACAGGGGAGGAACGTCTGAGTGTAATGAACAGAGAAATCGACAGATGGCTGTCTCCGCGCAAACTGAAAATCAGAACCATGTTGACCAACAACGGAAAGAACATGGTGTCTGCTCTGCGTCAAGGAAGGTTGTGCCATGCGCCATGCATGGCTCACGTGTTCAATCTGGTTGTCAAGCGGTTCCTAAAATCCACCATCCCACTGCAAGACATCCTTAAAATGTCACGTAAACTTTGCATGCATTTCAGCCATTCCTACACCGCAAAGCACACCCTCCTTGAGCTGCAGCGGCAGAACGGAATTCCACAGCATCGCCTGATCTGCGACGTTGCAACAAGGTGGAATTCAACCCTACATATGTTAGACCGCCTTTACGAACAGCGAAAGGCCATCACCGATTTCCTGATGTTACAAGCGGATAAAGGTACTCCCTGTGTAACTTAGATGTCAGCCATTGGCAGCTCATGCGTGACACCTGCCGCTTGCTCAGGCCCTTTGAGGAGGCCACGCTATTCGTGAGTCAGCAGGACTATGGGATGAACGACGTCATTCCTCTGTTGCACGTCCTGGAACAAATGCTGTTAACAATGGCTGGTCAGGGGGCGGTAGACGTGGCGCACAGATCTCAACGCCACATGACCCCTGTGGGGGCAGGACAGGAAGAAGAGGAGGAGGTAGAGGAGGACATTGGTGCTCAGGAATTATTGAGTGAAATGGGTGGTTTTTCCACTCAGCGGACAGGAGTGGAGGAACAGGAGCATCTGGTAGAGGAGGAGGAGGAGGAGACAGAGGACCCAGACGCACCGTGGCAGTATGCTGTGGAGATGGAGGCAGGGAGTCCCTCGCATTCCTTGGCACAAATGGCCCATAGCATGCTCGGTTGCTTGCGTAGCGACAGCCGAATAATAACCATCAGACAGAGGGATGACTTTTGGCTGTCCACCTTGTTGGACCCTCGGTACCATTCAAAAATGGTGGCCTTTTTCACACCTGCTGAGAGGGGAGGCCAAAATAAAGTACTATAAAAACCACCTATGTAGTCAGTTGGTCTCTGCCTTTCTGCGCCAACGTCCATCCTCAGACACTGTGGGCCCTGTGCGCTCGCGTTCCGCTTCCATGGCAGCAGGGGAGGGGTGGGGTGGTAGGAGCAGTGGCAGCTCCACCAGCAGCGGCTGCCTCAGTCTGCAGTCGATGATGAGTAGCTTTCTTCACCAGCGCAGTGAGGAAACTACTAACCAGCCGCAGCAGCAGCAGCATCAGGTGGACCTGGAGCAGGACCTCAAACAAAGGCTCGGGCCTACTTGGACAGCACCCTGCCAACCGAGGTAGACAATCCCCTTGACTACTGGGCAACGAAACTTGACCTTTGGCCCCAACTAGCTGAATTTGCCCTTGAAAGGCTGTCATGCCCGGCCAGTAGCGTGGCATCGGAGCGCGTGTTTAGTGCGGCAGGAGGTATTGTAACTCCGCGGAGGACACGACTGTCCACCCAAAGTGTGGAGAGACTCACGTTTGTGAAAATGAATCAGGCGTGGATTAGTCTGGATTTCAAACCACCAGTTCCTGACACAACTGACTAAATCCGCCATGAATCATGCCCCAAACATGTTATTATTTTTAACATAGGCCTCTGTATGGCCTTCAATTTAAGCTGCTTACGCTTCGCCACTCTGCCATGGGCCCCTGTACCGCCTCCTCTTGCTGCTGCCAGGTCCAGAGTGTGTCATGGGTCCCTGTACGGCCTCCCATTGCTGCTGACTTCATCGCCAGACTCTGCCATGTGCCACTTTCAGGTCTCCTTACACTGTTGGTGGGTTCCATTTTGTGATAGGGTGCTGTATGGCCTTCCATTGCTGCTGCCTCCACCGCCACCCTGCGCCATGTGCCTCTGTCGTCTGCTCACACGCTGCTGACGTCTTCCGCTTTTTAACCGAGGCCTGTGTTTGGCTTCCGAATACTGCTGCATCCACCGCCACCCTGCGTCATGTGTCTCTGTCGTCTGCTCACGCTGCTGACGGCTTCCGCTTTTTAACCTAGGCCTGTGTATGGCTTCAGGATAATGCTGCCTACACCGCCACCCTGCGCCATGTGACTCTGTCGTCTGCTCACGCTGCTGCCAGGTCCATACTGATTCATGGCCCCCTGTACCGGCTCCTCCTCATGAACGTGGTTCAGCGGGTTTGCATCACTTAACGGCAAATCGTTGACAAACGCTGGGACGTTCAGTGTTGTGCGCATTAAGCCAGACACCAAAGGGCAGCACAGACCTGTTATTACTCGCTCAAGCATGGCTGAACAAAACCAGTCTCTGCCACAAATTGGACCCAGACCTGCCCAAGGTCTCGTAAGTAGATTGCACGGAGGAGTAGAGTTCGTTATTGGAATTAACTGTGAGGGACTTTTAAACCTAGGCCTGTGTATGGCCTTCAATTGAAGCTGATTCTGCTCCGCCACTCTGCCATTGGACTCTTGATAGGGACTTTTTAACATAGGCCTCTGTATGGCCTTCAATTTTAGCTGCTTACGCTCCGCCACTCTGCCATGGGCCCCTGTACCGCCTCCTCATGCTGCTGCCAGGCCCGTAATCTGCCATGGGCCCCCGTACCGACTCCTCATGCTGCTGCCAGGCCCGTAATCTGTCATGGGCCCCTGTACCGCCTCCTCATGCTGCTGCCAGGTCCAGAGTGTGTTATGGGTCCCTGTACGGCCTCCCATTGCTGCTGTCTCCATCGCCACACTCTGCCATGTGCCACTTTCAGGTCTCCTCACACTGCTGGTGGGTTCCATTTTGTCATAGGGTGCTGTATGGCCTCCCATTGCTGCTGCCAGGCCCGTAATCTGCCATGGGCCCCCGTACCGACTCCTCATGCTGCTGCCAGGCCCGTAATCTGTCATGGGCCCCTGTACCGCCTCCTCATGCTGCTGCCAGGTCCAGAGTGTGTCATGGGTCCCTGTACGGCCTCCCATTGCTGCTGTCTCCATCGCCACACTCTGCCATGTGCCACTTTCAGGTCTCCTCACACTGCTGGTGGGTTCCATTTTGTCATAGGGTGCTGTATGGCCTCCCATTGCTGCTGCCTCCACCGCCACAAAGTGGCTCCACACTCTGGTTTTGGCCCCGTGACTGCCCAAATGAGTGAAGTGTACGGTGATTCTAAGATCGACGGCACTCATCTGCATGTCATCCTGACTGACAGTATTATTTCACTTCCCCAGCAGACTCCAAGGGCATTTAAATTAAAGGTACAGTGTTCTGCACTAATATAAAGGCTCTCTGAAGCCTAGAAACACCCTTTTTACACGTTAAATTCGCAGCGAATATATTTGCCTCAAATCGAATTTATTCCGCGAATTCGGCGAATCAGCCGAATCGAATTTTTGAATAATTCGCTCATCTCTAACAATAATACAAGCTACTTTAGGACATTTTTTGTGAAAAAAGGTGATTCTAATTGAGGGGTGTTATGGATGCTATGGATCATAGGAGTGCAGTTAGTTCTGCACTCCTTTGATCCATTTTCAGCCAACAGCTAGCTAAAACCTATTGTCGGCTGAAGTCACAGACCCGGTCCAAACTCTAAAAAGATCCATATGCCAAGAGTCTGAGACAACCCCTCCTGCCCTCTCAGCAGCCCAGCACTCCAGTGAGCACTGAAGGAGAAGTGGAGAAATCTGGAGACTGACAATAACAGCTCTCTGCTTAGAGCAGAGGGGGAGAACTGAGTGATCAGCTGTGTTTAATTGCACAGTTCTCACTACAGAGCTGGCAGGGGACAGAAGCAGCATTGGATCAATGCTGCATCCACCTAGGTGAATATACAATGTTTTTTTCTCAAAGTCTTAATGAACCAGTCATAATTTGCTTTGTAGGTCATAATTTTTTTTGACTAGTTAATTCCAAAGTGCAATTCTTTTACTCTTCCTTAACCCCAAACAGTTTTCTTGAGTCTTTCATTTAGGAGGGTTACAGGGTACAACCATCTTCATCCCCAATAGAAAGATATTTGTTGAGGACCACATTTTCAGTAAGAGGTTCACCTCCCTCATCTTCTCCAGTGGTGTCTTTTTGTTTTAACCTCCCTGAGTGTAGCTCGGGGTAAAATGTCTGTACCAAAAGCGGTAACCCCGAGCTACACTCGGGCTTACCATGCGGTGCTGCATAGGGAGGCCCTGCAGCACTTACCTTGTCCTTCGCTCCCGCGATGTGTCCCCTGCAGCGTCCCCAGCCATCTCCTCCGACTGATGCCGGCATCCGGCTCCTGTGTTCCGGTCCCTGTGACGTCGGGACGTACGGGCGCCGGCGGGAAATTTGAAAATTTTAAAAAAATGTAATTTTTTTCAAAACGATTTTACATAGTAAAACATTGCTGTTTCAACCCATTTCACATACATTTTGTCCCTAGTGCTTTGTCCTGTCCCATCTGCATTTTTACTGTTCTTTCTGCCTGGAAACTTAGAAAAGTCCATGGCGTCCAAAAAGTGTCCCTTTAGGTCAAAATCGGTTTTAGATCAGCTAGAGAACAGCGATAGTAAATCAGAACACTTGCAGAATTGAGTGATAATGATTCGTGGAGAAATTCGTCATCAGACACTGAAAACAATTTTGCGACTTTGCTTAGTGATGTGCGAACTTGGCGCTATATTTCAAATTTCAGTGTTTTTGGTTTGATTATATTATTGAATTAAATGTATTATTGTTATATTATTTTTTTTTATGATTATTTATTAAATTATAATTTATGATTTTGTGTTTCAAATTTTATCATACCCAGGATGTTTAATAGACTCTTGTTCGGACAGATTTCAGTGAGTTATTCCTAAATATTACAGCCTACAATAAAAAAACTACATATTTCCATGCAAAATAATGGTACCGCTTTCAGCACCAAAAATCTGAAATAGTCATACCGCTAGGGAGGTTAAAAGGCACAGCACCAGCCTGAAAACATTATACGTATTTGGAAAAATATGTAGCATCCTCTGTTTAAGAACTTATCCCCTCAGGAGTATACAGAGTGATAGTTCATTATCTTTGGCTTTAGAAGTTTTGCAGTGGGGAAAGATTATATGTGGGGTTATTAAATGAAACCTTAACAATTTTTAACGATTCAAATTAAGGATATTATGAAAACATGCATACGCTAAAGTTATCTTTTTTATAATCATCCAGAGTTACAGAGATATAGGCAGATTTAGGCAGCTAAAGTTCTAAAGATCTTTGCTTGTTGAGGCTGAGCATGGCACCATCTCTTCTGCCTCTCAAGAGTCTGTCTTCATCCTTAAGACCACCCTTCACAATAAGGCACCAAAAGAGTTGTTCGGTAGGCAATAATGTTGGGGCTAAGCGCAACTCTTACAGGAAAAGTTCACATTTATGTATAACTCCAGCCAGGGACCCCTGTGTCCTTGCCCAAACTCAAAAAAGCCTATGAAAAAGGTACCAGGGGCATCTCATGGGGTCCCCTATTGACCCCAGGCCCTTGGGCAGTGCCCGAGTTTCCAAATGGTCAGTCCACCCCTGGCTCCAGCTGCATGGATCTATGATTTGTTTTAACTTTTTCTTTCTATGTGCAACCTTTAGTAATGCATTATATGTATAGTAGAAATAAATCAGGCTTTTGACAGATTCACGTAATTGATATAATTATCCTTTCATAAAGCAATATACTGTATATATAGAGGACAAAGAGAAAACTGGTTAATTTTTAAAACAATAGTTTAATGTTTTTACTTGAATTTGCGAACATTTTAGACAGAAAAACAGAACAGCCTTTCAAATTGATCATTTTAATTTTTTTTCCTGGTAACGTTTAGCCATAAGTAATGTGAATTAAATATGGCAAGTGTTAATGAACCTTTAACCTGGGAACAGATGGTATACTATATATTCTATTGTAACTACAATCAACTATAGTCTTAGTCATTCATCCGTACTGATCCCCTGGCGTGTTTTCTTTTACAGTTTTCTGGTCAATGTAGCCTGTGAAACCTAAGCACAACATATTGCAATGAAGCTAATGGCATAAAACGTGTTCCCTATACACTTTTCCAGAAGTACTAGATTTATTCACAGGTTAAAGTAGTTTAAGATAAAATCTAAAATAGAATCATTATAGTCAAATATTAACAGTGCAATTGAAAATCTTTTCCCCAGATGCTACAATTATGCTTTGTATAACAGAATGAATGCATTGCTTTGTTTGAGGGAGTAAATGCATTTGATCTACCAAAGTAAGCCAACATGAATCCTAAAAAAAAATTCAATACACAATTCACATAGACCCATTTATTCACGTAATCTAAATTGCCCAACAACTCCATTAATACACTCAGTACAGTATGTCCATCATAGGCACAATGCACACACTTTAAATGGATTTAAACCACATGCTTCGGATAATTATTTTGCATTGTGTGTTTTTGTTTTTGTTTTACTAAGAACATTTTCTAAACCAACATATTTATTCACCGCAAAGAAATCTTCAGGAAAGAAATGAATAACTGAAAAGACTTGTCCTTGAGTTAGGGTTATATTGCAGTCCTTCATTATATCCCCATCAAACATTTGAAAGCCTTGATCATAAAACTCTGGACTGTGTAACCCTAGATAAATGGTATAAAATAATCTTGATTTTGAGTATACGGTATGCTGTATGCTATGTTATTTTTCTGTTTATGATTTTTTATGCTGTTTATAACATTGTCTTGTACAAGTAATTAGTACGTGTCAGAAACAATAGTGACGTGTAGATTATTAAAGTTACTGCACATCATGAAACAAATCCAAGGTGTGTTCCCAAAATGAAAATCTACACAATATGCAAATTTGCTAAGAGAAGATTTTGCATGGATTATTTCAGGACAAAGTGGGCATTTGTTTGGTGGTAAATGGTAATTGATATCTCCTAATTTTTTTATTATCTAAAGCAGGGGTCTCCAAACTGCGGCCTGAGGGTCGGATGCAGCACTGTGTCCATTTACACCCGCCTGCCTCCAATTCCACCCGATTCACTAAAAAAAAACAGAAGGGGATTCGTCCCCCTTCATCTAGGTGTATCAGATCAGAGGGAAGTCGGGTGTAAATGGACATCTGTCCGTTTACATCCGACCACCCATAGAGGAAAGTGGGCTGTGTCTCTGTTCGCTCGTCATTAACTGAACAGACAGACCTGTCATCTGTCTGCTCTTTTCAGTGGGGGATAAGCAGACAGAGCCCCTGCTGAAAAAAATTGTTTTGTGAAATAACCTGCTCCAAAGAAATAATATACAATCAAACAATGCTGCTGCTCAAAAGATGAAAAAAAATAATCAAAGTACACACAAAAAAAAACAGTGCAAACCAATTAAAGAAAAAACAAATAAGTCCCAAATAAAGAAAGTCTGGTGTTTAAAAAAACGTAAATAAAATGATATAAACAATATAATTCCCAATGTGTTTAAATCATCTAAATGGTGCAAGTTTTCACTCACACTCCCTCAATCAGATGATTGCAAAGTGGAAAATGACTTCAGGAATCAAACACACATTTTGGAGTTGAGATAAGATCTTCTGAACGCATTTCCCGATTACTTCAGTATTTTCTTAATCATTGCCTCGTGAGTGGATGAAAGAAAGAAAAAAAACAAATAGTGTAATACTGCATAAATAAAATTTTTTTTTATCTAATGTTCACCATTACACTCACATTTAACCTCCTTAGTGGTATTCCCGAGTGTAGCTTGGGGTAAAATTTGAGTCCCAAAAGCGGTAACCCCGAGCTACACTCGGGCTTACCATGCGGCGTTGCTCAGGGAGTCCCTGCAGCACTTACCTTGTCCTTCGCTCCCACGATGTGTCCCCTGCAGTGTCCCCGGCCATCTCCTCCGGCCGATGCCGGCATCCAGCTTCCGTGTTCCGCTCCCTGTGACGTCGGGACGTACAGGCGCCGGAACCGGCGGCAAATTTGAAATTTTAAAAAAATGTAAATTTTTTTAAAAATGATTATTACATAGTAAAACATTGCTGTTTCAATGCATTTCGCATACATT